TTTAGGTATGGCAACTCCCACTTTGAAGATTTTAAGTGAACTGTCAGAGGGAAAGAGTGTACATGTCAAACATTCCTCCGCTTGCCTGCCACGTCCCCTTCGCTGAGCTGCTGTTTTTAGCAGACAAGCACATGAAAAGGGTTACAATTTTATTTCATATTTCTATCAAATGAGTTTCTCTTGACACATTTTAAAGGATTTTTCTGAAGTATTAAGGATGCCTATTACAGATAATTCTGATTATTCAGAGGATAATTGTCTACTTTGTGAAATGTTAGGCTACTTTGACTGCGCCCCCCCCCCCCACATTTTACAGTGTGCTTGTTTGGCTTCGATATATTCAACTTAAAATGAACACTGGTTAAGTCTAACCAGAGAATCTCATCTCTGAGGCCAACAGGATTTGAGTTGCCTGCAGAGAGAGGTGGAGTAACTGAGAGTCAACTTCTAGCCTCATCTTGACCTAAAGTGACTCTCTCTGCTCAAGAGAAAGGCTGAAGGGATGAACATGTGGTCTTAAAAAAGATCCGTCAGGGTCTTTGCTGGGAATAACCCAGCACCTGTTCAGTAGGATCCAAGGTCCTTCATGAGCTGGCTTAAAATGAAATTTAGTATGTTGTTGTTGTTGTTAGGTGCTGTCAAGTTGAATATGACACATAGTAACCTTATGAACAAAAGACCTGAACCCTGTGTCATCCTTACACTTCCTGACACACCGGAGCCCGTTGAGGCAGTCATTCTGTCGGTCCTCCTGGTTGAGGGTCCTCCTCTTTTACTGACCTTCTTTCCTCCTTCTCCAAGGAAGAGCGTCTTCTAGCAACTTGCCTGAAGTACGTGAGGTGAATCTCAGCACAGTCGCCCTAATACAGAACTGCCGTTTCGGCTGCTTCCCTCTGTTTTAGGATTCCACTAAAAATGACTTTGTTTGAATTTCAATCTAGATTTCCCACTGACAGAGCTACTGAATATTAAGAAGAGGTCTTCAGAGTGAAGACCCTACGGAGACAAAACATCTCTAAGGAAAGTACTGAATAGCTTCCAGGGACACATTACAAAGGATGAACTGCATGGGTTTGGAGTTGATCATTAAGCAGGCTCTGGTTTGGGTTTAGTTAATAATTTCCCTAGCTGATAAATATATTAGACTAGACTTTGACAACCTTATCTTTATCCCAGGGAGGGGCTGGCAAGTTTGAAATACAGACCTTTTGGTTAGCAGCTAAATTGCTTAACTGTGATGCAACCAGTGCTCCTTAAAATAAAAGGATACAATTTCTTTAAAGGTTTATTTTTTATTAAGTGATAAAAATCTTGCAGATTTTTCATAATTTCTAATCTGATAGCAGTTGTTGTTATGTGCTGTTGAGTCACCTGAGACTCACAGCGATCCTATATACAACAGCCCTAACCCCTGCTCTGTATCCTGTGCCAATCTCACTGTCTCTGACACACCTACCCCGATTACCCCAGTCACTGAATCAGTCCACCTCATAGAGGGCCTTCCTCTCCTGTGCTGTCCCTCCACCCTCCCAAGCATGAAATCCCTCTCCAAGAATTGGCCCCTCCTTGCAACATGCCCAAAGTATGTCAGACGAAGCCTCAGAATCCTTGCCTCCAAGGAACAGCCTGGTTTAACCCTCTCCAAGATGAACCTGTTCATTTTCCTAGTAGTCCATGGTATAGTCAATACTCTTCTTCAGCACCACAGCTCAAAGGCATCAATTCTCCTTCTATTATCCCTAGTCATTGTCCAGCTCTCTAACACATAGCAAGTGATTGCAAAGACCATGGCATGCATCAGGCACACCTTAGTCTCTAGATTGACATCACTGCTCTTCAGGACATTGGTGAGGTCTCTGATAGCAGACTTTCTCATCACATAGCAGGTTTAAAAAAAAATAGGAGGCAACTAAATGTCTTTGAGTTGTGGCATTGGAGCAGTGTACTGAATGTTCCAAGGACTTCCAAAAGACCCCCCAAAAGAGTCTTTCTTAGTGAAAGTGTGACCAGGGTTTTCCGTGGAGACAAGGAGAGTGTCACTCCATCACAGATACTTCAGGCATGTTGTTAGGAGGAGGTGGTCCTTGGAGGAGGACATCGTTTTTTGACACTGACAGTGTGAAAGAGGAAGACCATCAACAAGATGTATTGACACTGTGACTATAGCAATGAGCTAAAATATATTACAGGTGAGTGAGACACAAGAAAGGGCAAGGTTCACGCCTGTTAGTCATAATATCTCTGTGAGGTGCAGTCAACTTGATAGCGCGTAACAACCACACAGAGGAAAAAATAATACAACTAAAGAGAAGTTCAGAATAATGGCTACGTTATCTTCTTTTTCCGTAAGGACCTCACTTAGAAATGAACGGCTAGACAGAACTAGGGAAGCTTCTCCACTGTTGGTTTACTTATAATACTTTTGATAGCAGTCAATCAGTTGAGTGCTTTGTACATATCAAAATAGCTTAGAAAAAGAGTCCTTTTATGTCACAGTGAAAAAAGATTTAAAGATATGCAGGTCTTCAAAGGAAGAGAAGTAATTTTTTTAAAATACGAAGCATTTCATTAATTACACCTCTCACTGATGTATTAAATCTCCATGAGTACATCTCATGGAAAACATGAAAGTTTTCTTTCGATTAAAGAATAGTTAAAGCAAGACAACTTCATGTGATTCGACCTAATACAATGGACCTTTCCACTTTCACAGCTCTAAGCACCTCGACGCTTTCTGGAATGAAGACGATACAGAACAGGACCATCTCCATGGGAGCCAGCAGGAAGAATTGCCAGGAAACCTGGATCTTTGAAACAGGTGGCTCTTACAACTTTAAATTACTTTAAGATGCTGATCTTAAAAACCCTTAAAGTCGTGCCCGCTTCGGCAGCACATATACTAAAATTGCAACGATACAGAGAAGGTTAGCATGGCCCCTGTGCGAGGATGACACGCAAATTCGTGAAGCGGTCCATATTTTTGATGTATACTGCATTGCAGCAGATGAGGGAGAGAACTGTTTAAAAGGGATCTATGACTAAAAACAAGGACTGTAAACTTCATTCAAGAAAAGCTTGGAAAAACTTTAGTAGTGCTAATCCACAACATAAAGAG